GCTGCCCTATTCCAAAACTAGGGGTAGGACAATTTCGAACCCTTGTGATATTACTTGATGGTTCTGGTGCCTCGGTGCCTGGTATAGCTGTTGAAATGCTAATGGGATCAATTAAAAATAGTACTGGCACCTCACACCTACATTTCTTCTCTAGCTTATTCTGGGGTGGGGGAAATTGCTGGGGTGATACTTTATGGTAGACCTATTCATTGGGCAGGTAAGCACAATTATCTGCACCCCTGGGCATATGAGAGCTTTCTGGGGTCATCCTATACCTCAAGTTTTTAAAGGACAGGCTGGACATGCCCCTCTCTCTCTACAGGCCAAGTACTCTGCTGTGCTGACACCCAATCCAAGGCCTCCTGAGCTAGCTAGGAATTGAAAGGTTAGCATGACTGTTATAATGCTCATGATCCTGTTCAACAGCCATACCTATTCAACCAGCCTCCCTAGTGCATGTTGGTGGTGCTGTGAGCTAAACAGTCCCCTTGTTGTGTGCTGCAAAACAACATGGCTTCGATGGATTGGGGAGATTACTGGTTTGGTGATGCCCCCTGCTGTAATTCAGTACCAGAGAGATCAGTGGGTGGACTATTATGCGATGCTCCCTGCAATAATTTACTGTAAATAGCACACTGAGATTTATTTGATTTAAGATCTGTCACTTGTACACAGTGATGGAAAAAATTAAAACCTATCGTTTCAATTTAGGGGGGCTTAGAATGAAACCCTGGGGCACTTGTACATGTGGTGGGGGTTTAATCCCCAAGGTTGCATTCTATGCCCTCTAAATTGAAACAGTGGGTTTTTAATTGAAACGCACCATTTCACTTTTTCTGTCACTTCACAGTGAGGGACCTGATTCTTTTTTTGTTTTTTGTTTTTTTTTGGAGTCTGCCTGCGGCTGGGGGACAGGGTGAGCTGCCGGCAGGCTGAGTGGCCCCTGAGCTGCGGGAGTCCCCAGTCCTTCCCCCTGCGGTGGTGGTGGCGGCAAACCCCAGGGCTGCCCAGGTGGGCTGTCAGTGGGCTGGGTTCTGCCCCAGGCAGCTTGGGGTCAGAGAAGAGTTGGATTGGGCTGGATGCTACCTCCAATCTGGGGCAACACCTGACCCACTAGCAGCCCGCCTGGGCAGCCTTGGGGGGCGCCGCTGCCACAGAGAAAAAGACCGGGGCCCTCTGCAGCTCAGGGGCCACTTGGCCTGCCAGCAGCTTGCCCCCTGACTGTGGTAGAGGTGGGCAGGCTCTGCTGGAAAAAAAAAAGGATCGGGTCCCTCACCACTTCACACCTACCTTTCTTCTCTGGCTTATTCTGGAGTGGGGAAAATTGCTGGGGTGATGCTTCATGGTAGACTTATTCATTGGTCAGGTAAGCACAATTATCTGCACTACAGTTATCTGCACAATTATCTGCAAGCGATGAGGGGCCCGATTGTTTTTTTCTGTGGAGCCTGCCCGCCTGTCCTGTGGCTGCGGGGGGAGCTGACAGCTGCAATGCATCATTGCAGACTAAACTACATCCAGATGTAGTTTAGTTTGTAACTATGTAAAGTCATTTAAAACCCCCAAAACTGTTGAGCAACTCAGGGACTAACTCAGAAGGGGCTGTACTCAACTAACTTCCTGCTGGGTAAATGAGATGACAACCACAGCCTTTTCTAAAGATGCCTCCATCACTGTGGGTTTGTCTGGAGTGATTTAAGAACTCTGTTGTTCCCAACCTATTTTAATGGCTGGATTGTGTGACACAAAAGATTTACAGTTACTGAGATTAATCCTTGGTTTATAAAGATCTTCTTTTCTTAGTATCGCTGTAGTGTTTTGGACAGCAGAATAGTTAGCTGTGAACAGATCCAGGCATCCAATCCTAATTAGCTATTTGGAACCTTTACAAGTCACGAGTCTACCAAATAACTTGTCCTTTCTTGTGACATGTGTTTCCAGGCTGCCAAGACTTGACATCTCATCTCCTGTATCTCTTCTGCTCTACTGCTTTTTTTTTCTCCCACTTTGCCTCTTGAATTTTCAGGCATGTTAATGTTTTCCCATCTGTCTCAGTTCTTTTTACATTTTTTAACCCTCCTAATATATGACACCTTGCACTTCAATGGGCATTACCTTCTCACTTCCTAATCCAGTGGGGGTCAACCTTTTTGGCAGGCATGCCACAAATTAACCCTTCACTTTTCCAAAGTGCCACTCCGATCCCTTTCCCTTACCCAATTTGATTCTCAGCTTTCTGCTCCCTGCCCTGTACTCCCTGACATACGCTCTGAGTTTCATTTTTGCTGGGAGGGAGCAGGTAGGGGGGAGTCTAAGATGATAGACATGTGGAAAGTTTTATGTATTTCAGGTGACATCCTTCTTCTTAAGGGAGGCCAGGGCCCCTGTACTCAGCACCTCTGTACCTTGACTCAGCTGCTGCTCAACCTTTTGTTTCCTGCCCTGTGCTGCCTGCTTGATCTAATGCTCTCTGCCCTCTCTGTCACTGATACCCTCTCCAGTTTGCTGCATGCCACAGGCAAAAGCTGCTTGTGCCACTTGAGGCACCTGTACTGTAGATTGCCCGCCCCTGCCTTAATCCATGCTCATCAGATTTTGGGGGGAAAACACACTGTGTAAAGCAGTGTCTGACAGCAAAAAAACCCCAGCCTAAATTGTAAAGCAGTAAAAAAGGATGCAATTAAAGCCAATCTTCCATTAGTTTCAAGATATTTGCTAAAGATTCAGTCTCATGACTGTGGATTCTGCATCCTTGTATGCCAGAGATTCCCAGAAAGAGCAAAGTGACTGGTTATCCTAAAATGATTTTTAGTGTATGAATCCCTGACCATAGTGCTACAAGGAAGCACTATTAAGAAAAAATGACTAATGTTATAATTACCTTTGTCCCTGACAACAAATGCTGGTGATAGGAGTAGCTGAGCAAGCACTGGAACTTGGTGCAGCTGTTGACAAACAGGGCCACCTCACCACAATGTTTTTGAAACAACACGACTACACAGGGTTTGCCTCTTTTTTTGACGTTTACGGTTAACCAGCATTAGGCACTGGTTAAGCTACAACAGTTGCTGACAGCCAGTGTCAGCCGTGTGTCATGCAGACAAGGATTTTGGCTTGTACTATAATAAACAAATGGAAATTCATGAAGGAAGCCCGAGTTCTGTGAGCAGGGAGCTTGCAGGTTTGGTCATCTCTGGTGTGATATGCTGGAGACTTGAACAAAAAAGTCAAATTTTCCTTCCAAATTTTCTATTCCTTCAGCCTTATACAGCAAGTAAATAACTACAGGTGTGCACACAATGCCTGAAACCTCTGTGTTAGTGCTATCGATAGCTATATAAAGATTCCCACTACACAACAGCCATATCTACACTGTAAATTTACCATGCCTGGCAACAGCACACTCAAGCACATTGTGCTGCTCTGTGCAGACTAAACCAGAAGCAATGTAGTCATGTCCATGAAGCACTTTTGGTGAGTGACAGCAGTGTCTACCCATATGCTAATTAACTCCCCAATGTCGCCTTGTAACCCACACACGGTCATGTGGCTATCCTGCTTCCAGGTTAGGAGGCAAGTATGTCTGCATGGAGGAGCATGGTGTGCTTTAGAGAGCATCTCTGCAAGGTATGGTAAGTGGACCATGTACATACAGTGGATGAGCAGGGATCCTGGTTTTATCTGATTAAAAAAAAAAAATCCCCAATTTTTGGAGTAAAAAAACTAACACAAAATCCACATTTTTTTCATGATTAAAATGAAACACCATTGTATATATATCTACAGTCTTCAGGGGTGCTTGGATAGATATATATAGTGGTGTTTCATTTTAATCATGGAAAAATGTGGATTCTGAATTACTTTTTTTACTCTGAAAAATTGGGGATTTTTTTAATCAGAGAAAACCAGGATCCCTGTGAATGAATTACTTGCACAATATTAAGTTTTGTAACGCCGATGAATTCAAATCTACAATATATCTCTATAATTTTAATAATCACAGATGCAAAAATGTCAAAGCCTCTTGCATAATAAAGACCATTGTACTTTACCAAATTAATTTCTGCTTCAGTTTCAATAGCTGTATAGCATATCAGAAAAGCATTAAATCTCGATATAAATATTTCCAGGCATAAGGAATCAATCACAGCCTTTGGAAAGTTGTTCCAGTGATTAATTTCTCACTGTTTTACACTAATACCTTATTTATGAGCTGAGCTTCAACATCTAGCCCATGGATCTTGTATCTGCTACACGAAATAGCTCTCTGTTATCAAGTTACTGTTCCCCATGTACACTCTTTGGTTATGATATATTGCCCCTTAACATTGTCATGTTGTCCTGTGGGGACAGGACAACTCAGGATCTTAAAATTGCACTGTTAGGCAGTAGGGTGTGACACAAAGCAATTAGGCACATACATGCACACTAGGCATGCACACACATGCTATGTGCATACACACACACACACACACACACTACCAGCTCAGGCACATACACATCCAAGATTACCAGTCTAAGCACATGCACACCTATCACCAATTCAAGCACATACACACTATTAACGCCAAAAATTAGACAAAAATCAGTTGTCAATACCCACACACTCAATACAAATACACGGATCACTAATTTGTATATCATGCACACAATTATATATATGTATATATTTGCCAGTTCACACACCTACACATACACACAGGGGAGTTCCTAACTTGGGTGTTGTGGGGTGTCTGTGTGCTTAGGGTACTTGGGATACCTAGGGTGCTTGGTGACTATGGGAAGGGAAGTCAAGGGTCAAAGATTTCCAGAAGGGGGGAGATGGATGGGGGTTAAGATGAGAAAGGGAAAAATAAGAGAGTGAAAGCTGCCAGGGCCAGGATTAGAACCAGAAGACTGGAGGGGAGCTGGGGTTACTTGAGGTTAATTGGTCTTAATTGATTAAAGGAAAACGCCCAAAGCTGGAAGAACAGAGGAGCAATGCTAGGGAGAAGCCAGCACAGAGGTTGGGACTGGAGCTGCGGAGGAACTGAAAGGTACGTGGGGAGAGGGAAAATGGGGCTGGGGGGACCTGGAGGCGGCTGTGGGGGAGCTGGAGAGGTTGCAGGGGGAACCAGGAGAATCTTAAGGGCGGGGGGGGGGGGGTGGGGGTGGTGTG